TTTTTTTTTTAATTTACATGAAATATTATTTTATTGGAGAATGTGTAATTAAAATGAGAAAAGGGAGAAATACATTTTGGATAAAATGGAGGCCAAACAGGGGCAATTAGTAAACTACAATGTGTGTTTAAAAAAGAATGAATTTTTTTTTAATTTACATGTAATATTATTTTATTGGAGAATGTGTCATTAAAAAGATAAAAGAGAAAAATACATTTTCGATAAAATGGAGGCCAAACAGGGGCATTAAGTAAACTACCTTAATATTTTGTTAGAACTTAGAAAGGTGATTGATAGTGTGAAAATAAGTCCAAAAACTTCCATTATTGAAGTAAGTTAACAAGAACAATGCATGTTTTATATACATGCTAGCTCATGCATAAAAATTCTATATATTTTATTCACAAGTATTAAATTAAAACACAGAGACCAACAAATATGCAACTGATTAAATTAAGAGCACGTTTGGAAATTGTTGATAAATGGTTTAGATTATAAATAGATACAAATGAGCGGTGAATAAGTAGGTAATACTTATGGGTCTCTCAAAATATGTGGATAAAAAATGACTTAGTGTTTAATTTATAAACATAAGCCAAACATAGGCTAAGTAAATTACTAGTATAAGAATATCTGGAACGTACGGCCAAGACAGGTGCTTTTTGTTCATATACAAGATCCAAAAGAACCCTTTCAAATCTGCAAGACCAAAAGATAACAAAATGAATCACCATTGCTGCTGATGCTAGAGGACTCTATTCGATTAGCTTTAAGATTATCTTTAGACGGTGGGCTTATTCTTGAAACTTTTGTGACTAATGTAATCTTGATAAAATGTCCAAAAGATGAAAAGGTATTCATAGAATGTAGATAAGTACTTCACTGAACAATATCTAATTTTCAGGCAAAGGTGGAACTCTTGATTCTGTGGCTAAATGCAGATAACAAGAATACATCGAGCAATGTACTTAATACATTGCAACAACTTCACTGTTTCTGGAGCACCAAATGCTTAAAAAATGAAAAGAAACAGATTAAAACCATTAATTCGACTTCAAAATCTTGATAATAATTATACCACATTGTATCATAAAAAGAAATCCAACAGCCATTGTCCCAGGTAGATCTTACTCAAACAACACAGAAATTCGTGAGTTTCACTGACACTCGTCCCCAGCTAAAACCATCCTCTTAAGAGTGATTTTATTTTATTAAATTACTCTCAATTGTATATAAAATATTATTTTTGTTTTTCTTTCTCAAATACAATGACTATTACCTATCTAGAGTTCAATTCCATTCCATTAATTACATGGTCATTGGCTGGATTTTGAACATTTCAAAAAAGCACCAGATTGCATATAGCATTTTAATTGCAGGGTTTATAATTCTGATCCACCTTGCCCCACTAATTTTTTTCTTCTGCTATTTATTTTAGATTTTCTTTTTCCAGGATAACATTTGATGGCAAATTCTTCCAAATCCAAGAACTGTATCTTTCTGCTATTCAACTGTACTATTGTAATTCTTTCATGAAGTTTTCAGTATTTCATAAACTTATATAGGAGTAAACCTAATAACCTGCTATATAAGATTGATTGGGGAACCCCTTTTATAGTTTTTTCATTGCTTTTCCTCTTTTGAGGATAGAGTGTGAACTCCATAACATAAAGGCCAAGAGACTGTTACACAAGCAATGCTCCGTTATGAGTTATCAAACTTACAAAAGAGTGACCTTGAATAACTTGACATTGATGACTTCCGGCACTATGATTTATAATGGTTTTTCTTTGTGAGAATTAAGTACTGTTGAGTGAAATGTCCAGAAAATTTGAAGTAACGGCAAGATCACCGCTTTGTGCAGACACATAAAATGTAGATGTACTTATGTGTTGATGTTGCTATAATCACAGTATTTTCTGGACATTGAAAATTTTTGAATATCACATAGTGCAAGTTCGAGAAGAAATCAGATGAGAGGTTTTGAAACGGTGATACAGACATTTTTAACAAAGCAAGTAATATCATCTTGACATGTGGGAAAAATCATATTTTGACAAAATTCCATCATGAGTCGTGGATATGCATTTTCTTCTAACGTGCAAATCGATGTCCATCCCATGTTTATGAAGTGTTCTTCTATCCTAAATGCGGGTGTATCGAATGTAAAAGAAGGAAAATTGACCTTTTTACCTAATAAGATGGGCGTCTTCTCGAAGGGGTTCGTCAGCGTCTCGGGTTCTAGGTCCATGTCTTCTTCTTCGGATGATGGAGATGGGGGACGTCGTTGAACGGTTTGCTTGAGCCTCTTCCCTCTACCTCGGGAAGTCGACATTTTTCAAATAATTTTGGGGATTTTTCGAAATTAGGGCACGAA